TATATATATATATATATATATATATATATATATATATTTCGTGCAGGCATATTTTCATCATCAATTAGTAGATTTGACTTATTGGTTTTTCCATGACTGTTGCATGTATCATTGGAGGATGAAAATTGCAAATAACATCTTGTGGGTTTGAGGTTGATTTTCTTTTAGAAAATCATCTGATTGATGCATACAAGTCTTGTTTCAGACATTCAAATTTCCTGTTTTCCAGGCTAGGGAATGACTCATCGGCGGAAAAAACATCGAATGTGTTCACATGCGCTATATGCCAGGCGATCCTTGTTCCAAGCAAAGGAGTATCCGTTCATGCCGGCTCCATCTTCTCCACCAACTCGAAGCCTTGGGAAGGTCCCTTCCTCTGTGATGATTGCCGCAACAAAAAGGACGCTATGGAAGGAAAACGTCCAAGTGGAGTCAAAGTGCTGTAGCTCTCTCCTCCCTCTTCCCCTACCGAACTCTCATCCCATTGCTTTCTGAGGTATCCTGAAATTGTTTGCTGCCATTTTTTATGGGCTGCATGGTTATTTCATTCCGGGGGATCAACGAGGCATGGAAGTAAATGATCTGATTGTTTTGTTACATGAAGTTTGGGTCTTTCAATTCTTTTGTCCTCATTATTTCTTTGTTGGCCACGAACAGAGCGAGTGAACACTAGTTGAAATCTCATCACTTGTATTGGTATTAATACTGCTTGTAGTTCTATTAACAAGATCATTAATGTTGTTCCACTTTAAATGACATTCTTTTTTTCTATTGTGTTTATTATTAATATCTTAGACTTCCATTAAATTCCTTGATATTTGTCAATAGTCACACGATTCAAGCGGGAAAAACCAACGTCAAGATATTTTATCTTAATCATTTTTTTTTTTCGCATCGTATGACGCTGCGGTTAAAGGCCTCCTCTGATAATGTCGAAAGCAGGTGTCACACGTGTCTTCAACAGCTCTATTCGAAACCTGATTTTGGATCTTTGATGCTTAAATTAATAACGAATGGTATAAATTTATTTTCATAATATTTTTGATGTCAGGAGGGTTTGAATCTTCTAGTTAACAACTACATGTAACCAACTGAGCTATTCTAGTTGATAAAGTATTTTTTATCATTTGGTCACCCTAATGTGGATAAGAGTTGTTTGTCAGTTACATCCCTATTTATATAGTTCTGACTTTAGTTAAACTAAACATACTTAATAAATATGTAGAAAATAAAAGGAAAGCATAGAAAAAAAAAAAAGGATTCTAATAATCCCGTCTCCTTCAATTCAGTCTTGTCCTTAAGGTTGAGCAGCATAAAATTCTGGAAACTTCTCCTTTAACATGCTGTAGGACTCCCAAGTGGCATCTTCCTTTGACAAGTTGGCCCATTGCACCAGCACTTCAGTTACAGGATGTCTGCGGTACATTACAACTCGTCGATCAAGTATGGCTTGTGGTTGAGCTTGAACTTCCCTAGTAGTAGAAGTGTCTGGCAAATGGCACCACACTATTGCATCTTCACCCAATTTCCTTTTAAGGCATGCAACATGAAATACTGGATGTATTTTAGAGCTAGCAAGCAAATCCAAGCAATAAGCAATTGGTCCAATGTGTTCTAATACCTTATAAGGCCCAAAAAACTAAGGAGATAGCTTTATGGAAGATCGGACCTTTATGGAAGTTTACTTGTAGGGTTGAAGATGAAGGAAAACCCAATCACCCACAGTAAATTCTCGTTCACTTCGGTGTTTATCAGCTTGTTGTTTCATTCTTTCTTGTGCGGCTATGAGGTTATCCTTTAAAAGCTAAATAATCTTGTTTCTATCCATCAATTCCTTATCGACTTGATCAACTTTAGAAGAACCTGATATATATTTTGTAATTGTAGGTGGGGGTTGACCATAAACTGCTTCAAATGGAGTCATTTTAATAGAAGAATGACAAGAGGTATTATACTACCACTCTGCCCAGGGAAGCCATTTAATCCATTTCTTCGGCTTGTCGCTAGTAAAGCATCAGAGGTAATTTTCTAGGCACCTGTTCACCACTTCAGTTTGCCCATCTGTTTGTGGATGATAAGCAGTGCTCATATTCAGCTGAGTACCTTGTAAACGAAAAAGTTCTGTCCAGAAGGAGCTAGTAAAAATCTTCTCTATCACTAACAATGGAACGGGGACTCCCATGTAATTTAGCTATGTTTTCCATAAAAATACAAGCAACACTTGCAGTAGTATAAGGATGTCGTAAAGCACAGAAATGAGCATACTTTGTAAGCCTATCCACGACTATAAGTATAGTACTCTTTTCTTGAGACGGTGGGAGACCGTCAATGAAATCCATAGATATGTCGGTCCAAGTAGCATCAAGAATAGGGAGGGGCTGTAGTCAGCCTAGGGTGGCTACTGTCTCACTTTTGTGACATTGGCAAAAATCACATTCAGTAACAAATTTCTTGATAAAATTTTTCATACCTTTCCAGTAAAAAAGTTGTCAAACTCGCTTATAAGTGCGGAAAAATCCCGAGTGACCAGCAATTGGTGATGAATAGAACTCCTTCAGAATTATTGCTTGGCAAGAAGAATGTGGGGCAACCACTATTCGACCTTTATAGCGCAAGTCCATCGAATCCCAACTATAATTTGAGACAGGACCTGGGGCTTCTTCTAATTTGTTAATGATGTTTTGGATCTCAGGATTATCTGACCATTCTCTTCTGATAACTTCCAAAGTCTTACAAATAGGAATAGAAATAGCTACAAGTTCAGCTTGTTCTGGAAGGCATGAGAGGGCATCTGCTACTAAATTCTCACTCCCCTTTTTATAAATGATCTCATAATCGAATCCCAGTAGCTTTGTGACCCATTTTTGCTTGTCTGAAGAAGAAATATTTTGCTCTAAAAAGTATTTGAGGCTTTTGTGATCAGTGCGTATTTGAAACTGTCGATCAATTAGGTAGGGTCTCTATTTTGTGACTGCATGTATTATGGCTAGCATCTCCTTGTCATAAATAGATAAACTCAAATGGGAAGGGGAAAGAGCCTTACTAGCATAAGCGATAGGCCGACCTTCCTGCATTAATACAACCCCTATTCCAGCTCCAGAAGTATCAAATTCAATCACAAACATCTTATTAAAATCGGGTAGAGCAAGCACGGGTGTAGTAGTCATTGCAGTTTTCAAGAAATGAAATACCTCAGTTGCCTCTTCTGACCATCTGAATGTATTTTTCTTTAGAAGTGACATCAAGGGGGCACTAATTTTGCCATAATTCTTCACAAACTTTCGATAATAGCCTGTTAGTCCCAAGAACCCCCTTAAAGCTTTAATTGACTTTGAAATTGGCCAGTCTGTCATCACTTGGATTTTTGAAGGATCAACTGCAACACCCTTTTGAGATATGATATGGCCGAGGCACTCAACCTCAGGTTGCCCAAAACTACACTTGGATTTCTTGACAAAAAAATCACGCTCATGAAGAATATTAAAAATAATTCGTAAATGTAATAAATGACTTTCTAGGGAATGACTGTATATTAAAATGTCATCAAAGAAAACTAAAACAAACTTACAGAGATGAGCCCGAAATATATCATTCATTAAACTCTAGAAGGTAGAGGGCACATTGGTTAACCCAAAAGGCATTACTAGAAACTCATAATGGCCGTTATATATCCTGAAGGTAGTTTTCTAAATATCACTTTCATGTACTCTAATTTGATGATAGCTCGATCGTAGGTCCAATTTAGTGAAGACCTGAGCTCCTCCCAATTCATCCAACAGTTCATCTACTACTAGAATAGGATATTTATCTTTAACTGTAATATTGTTAAGTGCTCGATAGTCGACACACATCCGCCATGAGCCATCCTTCTTTCTGACTAGTAAGACTGGGGAGGAATATGGGCTAACACTAGCTCGTATAACTCCTATTTTGAGCATCTCTGTGACAATCCTCTCTATCTCTGCCTTTTGAAAATGTGGATATCTATAGGGTCGGATATTGGTTGGTACCTTCTCGGGTAATAGTGGGATCCGATGATCATGACATCTAAGAGGTGGAAGTCCGTGTGGCTCTGCAAATATATCCGCAAACTCTGTTAGCAATGATTCAATATTTTTAGCCGGAATGTTCACTGTCATTTTCTTTTCAATGTTATGCAATTGCACAAAAAATCCAGTGTGTGTCTTCCGAAGGACCCACTCCATCCGATGGCTAGTGATAGTTGTAACCTTACCTCTACGTCTTCCTTTGAGAGTCACTTGCCTTCCATTAATAAAGAACTTCATAATTAGTTTAGAAAAATTCCAGGAGACATCACCTAGGGTTGATAACCATTCAATTCCAAGCATCACTTCATAGTCTTCAAGGATAATAAAAAGAAATCCACAAATAATTCTTGACCTTGCAAAATTAGTTTTATCTTTGAGCACTTGCTGTCACAGGTTAAAATCCGTCCATCAGTGACATTGACTTCAAATTTGTCACAACATTCGATATGGTAAGCTAATCGGGCTGCAACCTTCCTATCCATAAAATTATTAGTGCTACCCGTATCAATCAAAATAGTGACAGACTGATGTTTCAGAGTTTCCCCAATTTTCATAGTTTGTGGATTAGAATAGCCAGTCAATGCATGCACTATATGTGTGACGGCTTCAACAACATCATCAGTTTCCACTTCTTCATGATCGGAATCTGATACTTCTACTTCCAGTTCCTCCTTAATCGGTTCAATCATCAAAAGTCTTCCTTGTTTGCATCGGTGCTCCTTACTCCACTTTTCATCGCAATGACAACACAAACCCTTCACTAACCTTTCTTTGAGTTCTTCTCGGGTTAGTCTGCTAGTGTTATGGTTTCAACTAGGAGTAGATAAGGTAGGTTGCCTGCTAATCACCTGTTTATTGACACCTCTATTTCGACGATATTCTACACTATTTTTTTCCTCATGTAGGCGTGCAAATGAAATCGCAACCATCATAGTGCAGGGTTGACGAGCCTTAACCTTGCACCGGATCTTGGGAATAAGCCCTTCAATAAATATACCCAGAAGTTGTCGTTCTGACCAATCTCTAGCTTGGTTGGACAATCTTTCAAATCTACTCTGATATTCCAATACTGTAGAAGTCTGACGAATTTTGGCAAGTTGGCCATCAACATTCTCAAATTCGGATGGGCCAAAGTGAACAAGAAGCCCTCTTTTGAACTGCTCCCATGAAGGAACTCCATGGCAAGTTTTGTACCAATCATACCACTAGATTGCATCTCCATCGAGCAAGATTGAGGCCACTTCTACCTTGGATTCTTCCGGGGTTATGTGAAAACGAAAAAATTTTTCCGCCCTAGAGATCCAACTTGTCAGATCCCCATCTTCCCATCGTGGAAATTCTACCCTGATGCATGGGTAGTGTGTGTCACCATCCTGGGGCCCTTTTCCTGTATCTCTCAATCTGTTTAATATAGAACTTGAGCTCCCATCTTGTTGAAACCCGCTAAAGTGCTCCAACAATCTCTTTTTGAAATCATGAAGAGTTTCTTATAGCCGATTCTCAATTCTGGTTTCCAACGCTTCCATTTGTGCCTTCACTGAGTTACAAGCCATTGCGTACGATTGTAAGTCGGTAATCCCCAGTTCTTGTTTCTGATGTCTAGTCAAGGGCATCTGCATAGTAGTTGGGCAGTAGCAGCGACGGTGGTGGCAGCCGGCGTTCGCAGTAGCAAGGGAACCCACGCGACTATGGCATGGCTAGAAACAAGGGTAGCAAGGTGAG